CAGTCTGGTTATTTGTCTCTTTGCAATATTATCAAAGTAGAATTTGTCCTGGTTAGTTCCCCTCTACCCAGCTTGACACAAGCTGAAATCTGAGGACTATCAATTGAGAAAATGCCTCTATCAGATTGGCCTGTAGGGAAGTCTTTAGGGCATTTTCTTCATTAATATGGGAGGGCCCAGCCCATTGAGGGTGGTCCTAGGCAGGTGGTCCTGAGTGGTATAAGTAGGTGGGTTGATCAAGTCTTGGGGAGAAGAAGCTAGTAAGCAGTGTTTCTCCATGGTCTCCGCTTCAGTTCCTGCTCAGGTTTCTGCCTGGAGTTCCTGCCCTGACTTCCCTTCTTGATGCACTGTACACTGTAAGGTGAAATAAACCCATTTCTCCTTAAGTTATTTTTGGTCATGGTGTTTTATCACAGCAATTTTAACCTAAGACAGAACCTGTTTTTCTTTTGGACATATTTTGCTTTTGAACTTGTGTACCTAGGGAATGTAAACTGTATTAGCTTTGTATCACTATATGAGATATCTGAAGTAGGCTAGCTTTATAAAGAAAAGAGATTTATTTAACTTATAATTTTGGAAGTTCAAGGGTATAGTCCTGCCATTGGCCCAGGAGCTCATGTTAACAAGCTGGTATTACAATGATGGGAACACATGTGGGAGGAAAAAAAGATGTCTTGAAACAGTAAGCCAGAGAGCTTAGTGGACCCAAGCTTGCTATGGCTGCAACTCTTGAGAAAACTGCCAAAGGGTCTCTTGAGAACTGCCTTAATCCCTTTGTCCTCAGTGACCTCAAGACTTTCCAAAGGGTTGGCTAACCTCTTAAAGGTTCCTTGCTGCCTCCTGATTCCACCATCTGTTGATTCTATGATCAAACCACGAACCCACAGCAGTCTAAACTGGTGGTTCTTCTCCATGTTGCTCATTTGAATCACTTTAGTATGGTGACTCCGGTGTCTGTGTTCCTTTCCAGACTAATTAAATACAACTCTCTGAAGGGTGGGACTTAAGCGTCTTATTTCCATTTTTCTTAGCTTCCTATGTGGTTCTAGTATATGGCAAGCTTGTTGAGAATCATTGGTCTAATTAAAATTATTTCTATACGCCAATAAAAATTGTGTTTATTCCACACTAAGTGGCTGTTTTCTGTATCCAGCACTATTCACTTTATATTTCCACTTGGAAAAACATAATTAAAATGTAAATTTAGCAAAGTGAAATTATATGTATTGAGAAGTGAAGATCTGGTGAACCCATTAAGGCAGATATTTACATATTCAGAATTAATGCTCATGATTTGTCAGTTGGTGAATTGTAAATATCCCACTGAGCTAGTTAACTGAAAACCAGTCATTGTTCAGCCAGAGTCATTAGCAGTGGGTTGAATCCTGACCATGACTTAGATAAATGCTCAGAGATGTTACACCGGAGGATATTCATGAGCCACATGCAGTGCTTCCTCTCAGTGCAAATGTCTGTTTGATTTGGAGTGGCAGAGTGATGGAGCAGTCCTGTTGTGAAGGATGGAGTTTGGAGTCAGAATCTAGTAGCTTTCAGAGTTTGGCCAACATAGGAAGCAACCATGGCCTTTGCATATCAGCAGGATAAACTACCAGAAAAGAATACAAATCTCAAACCCTGTTTGATCCTTCATATGGAGCTCTTGATCATGTTAGTCAAGCACATGGCAAACTGTGACCTGTGACCAAATCCATTTTCTCTTTAAATATGAGAGAGAGAGAGTAGGGTGCAGGGAGAGGGAGAGGATCTCTGTGTGTGTCTGTCCGTATGTGTGTATCTCTTTTTGTGTGTATTATGTCTGTAGAGATCAGAGGACAATTTGGGATCTTAATCGATCCTCAAGCGCTATCTACCTTCTTTCTTTTCTTCGCTCCCCCTTCCTTTCTTTCAGCACGGCTCTCAGAGGCCTGCAGCTCACTGAGTAGGCTAGACTGGACGGCCGGAGAGACCTCCACTTTCCAGTGCTGGGATTACAATCTGTGTTCATCATGTCCTGCTTTTTTAAAAAATGACTTATTTATCTTTATTTCATGTACATTGGTGTTTTGCCTGCATGTGTATCTGTGTAAAGGTATCAGAACCCCTGTAACTGGAGTTACAAACAGTTGTGAGCTGCCATGCGGTTGCTGGGAATTGAACCTAGGTCCTCTGGAAGAGCAGCAGGGCTCTTAACCTCTGAGCCATCTCTCCAGCCCCCATGTGTTGTAGAATATTATTTTAAGGTGTGTTACTTTTGTTTATACTCCAGAACATTTCTTTAATGATGCAAAGATGTGTTTGATTAAATAAAATTCACCTGCGGTCCGGAGGTTGCATCGGCAACTAGCTGACAGGAAGTTGTAGGGAGGAGCTGGGTGGAGAAGGGTTTATAAGGAGGGGCGAGAAAAGGCACGAGGAGGAAAGACTTCTTGGGAGGTGAGCCAGGTTAGTTGCTTGCTGTTCAGCCTCTCTGGGAAGCAAGATTCTACCTCAGCCTTTGAATCTTGAGTTCTTTAGCAGGACAGAGATTTAGGTAAATTCTCTTAGTTCTTTGAAAGAGTCAGTGCCTGAGGGAACAGAGTTTCCTCAGGCTGCTGCTCCTTCTGCCTACAATGGAGTTGCAATTGCTGACTAGTGCAGCCTAGCTTAAAAGGCAGCAACCATTAAAATAAGAGGACAACACTTTTTAGTGTGGATTTTTGGGGATTGAACCCAGGTTCTCATGCTTGTAATGAGTTCATTCCCCAGACACTGTACCATTCTTTTTTCAATATCTTTATAAGACCACTGCCATGGTCATTCGTTTACTTATTGCCTAGGGCTTCTTTTTAGTTCTTAAGGCAGACTTGAGTATACATGACAATGTTGTGTAGTGCACAAAGCCTGAAGTAACTACTATGAAACCTTTATAGAAAGTGGCCCAACTTCCATGTTAAATGTCATAGCACACACTTCCCATTGTTGCTAATGCTTCCAAGTTGGTCCTAGTAAACTGAATTTGTTTTTTCTCATACAAATGACTGAAGATGGCTAAGTTTTGACTCTTTGAAGTGGAAGCTGCAATGAGGAAAGGGGGTTTGTTTTGTGTATTAGTTACTTTTTCATTGCTGTGATGAAACACCTTGAGCAAGACAATTTATAAAGAAAACATGTAATTGGACTGTGATTCAGAGGGTTAGGGTGATGGGTGGAGCAAAGGCATGGTGACGGAACAGCTGAGAGCCCACATCACAGACTGTAAGTAGACACAGGCACATTGGGAATGGAACTGTCTTTTGAAACTTTAGAGCCTTCCCCCAGTGACATGCCTCCTCCAACAATGACACGCCTAATCCTTCCCAAACAGTACCGACTGGGAAGAGTACGAAACTTACAGGGACCGGTCTATTCAAACCACCACCCTTTGGCAACAGGGGAGGATGCTGCCATTCATCCATTATGTTCTTTCTTCTCAGCTCTTGCTGTTGGTAGTCTCTCTTTTGGGCTGGTCATGTGATGACAAGCAGCTAAAGAGCTTTGTTCATGAAGGTTTCCTTGCAGACACAGGAGACAGACTTCATACACCTTGCTAGTAACAGATCTAGGATGGAAGTTTGAAGATGGGAGCTCTTCAGCCTTTAATGCTGGTTAACATAGACTGCTGAAGATGGTGAGGTTTCAGTGAGGACTGTTCATTGGCTCATTTTCCTTGGTCTCTGTTCAGTGTAGAGACTACTTCTGAGCCACCAGGCACCTCTTCTACCTGGGGGTGTGAATGCTAGTGAAGAGCCTCAAGTATCTGCCGAGTTCTTACATCTGAAAAAGGCGTGCTTACAAGTAAAAACTTAAGAGCAGTTCTAGCTTCCTAAGGTCTTAACTTCCCTTTTCAGTATGTTACTCAGACTCCAGCCCCTTGATTTTCATTTATTTTTATAGACAGACTGCACATAAAGGCAAGGAAGTGCCTATAAATATAGTGATATTCTGGTCTTTGTCATCAACCTGATCATTAGCATCACAGGTATGAAATAGAAGTCTTACTGTGTAGCTCATGCTGGTCTTGAACCCATAATCTTGCCTCAGCCTCTTGAGTGTGGTGGTATTAGTTCACGGCACTTCACCAGGCTGAGAAGTAGCAGTTTAGAGACGATGCCAGATGAATTCTCATTTTGGAAGAGCGCTGTGATGTTTCTGTAAATTTTTATTAATAAAGCAAGTCACTTTTGTGACCACAGAAGATTGTTTTCTATAAATTATTTAAAATGGTTTCAGACCAAAATCGCTCACATGGAATGATATTGAATTTAGTCTGTAATTTATTCCTAGATCTGTACTTGAAAGACTTTCCGGGGTGTAGCTGTATACAGCCTTGCAAAATCAGCCTGTGATCAGTGTAGGCCCTTTCTGCTGGTTGGCTCTCCTTTCCATGAGGAAAGGCATAGAGCCAGTGTGTCTAGATTGCTATGGCTCCAAGCACTACTAGTATGTGAATATCCAGGCATTTCTGCTTTCCTAGTGTGATGAGGCAGTGAAGGTTGTGGAGTTAGTTAAAAAAAGATTGAATTACTTCTTAGAATAAGCAGATTAATTAAAAAGAAACCACCTGGGTAGTGGTGGTGGATGTCTTTAATCCTAGTACTCAGGAGCCAGAGACAGGCATCCCCTCTGTGAGTTTGAAGTCAGCCTGGTCTACAGAGTGAGTTTCAGGACAGCCAGGGCTACACAGAGAAACCCTGTCTCAAACAACAAAAACAAACAAAATAATAATAATGACATAAAATAAAATGGAAACCTTTGACGCTTTGGACTGAGGAGGGAGGAGGGTGAGTTCTGGGATAGCCTGAACTATAGTGACTTTTAAGGCAGCCTAGATTACACAGTTGAAGATTGTTCCCCCCCCCAAAAAAAGAAAATAATCATTGCTGATTAACTCTGGGGTAAAGTTTGGTTGGCTGATGGAATGCGGTTGTCTGTGTCTGCACCCTTTGCTCACTAACCCATGCTCCTCCTCTGTGTAACAGGTCAGTGACTATCATCTGTTCTACACGATGAGTAACAGCCACCCTCTTCGCCCCTTTACTGCAGTGGGGGAAATCGACCATGTGCACATTCTGTCTGAGCACATTGGTGCCTTGTTGATTGGTGAAGAATATGGCGATGTCACATTTGTTGTGGAAAAGAAGCGGTTTCCTGCCCACAGGGTAATTTTAGCAGCTAGGTGCCAATATTTTAGGTAAGTGTGTAATGTGCTTTTTCTTTTCTTTCCTCTTCTTTTCTTTTCCTTCCTTTTTTTTTTCTTTTAGATTTAAGTCATTCATGGGAAACACTAGTGTTTTCTATGAAAAATATGAACCAGGTAGTGGTGGTACACGCCTTTATTCTCAGTACTCAGGGAGGCAGAGACAGGTGATTTCTTGAGTTGAGGCTAGCCTGGTCTACAGAGTGAGTTCCAGGTCAGCTGGGGTTACACAGAGAAACCCTGTCTTGAAAACAAAGAAGAAAATAAAAATATGTAACTTATGTATAACAACAAGTGGAATCCTTTAGTACAATGTCTGAAAGAACTTTATCTTTGTGGATTTGTTACTTTCTGAAAATTACCTTTTCTTTAGGAGCCAGCTTAGAAGTAAGGGGTTAGAAGGCTGTGTGGGCCAGACAGTACCAGTTAACTCTTTTTGAAAGTCTGAATGTACTTTTTAAAGACCCTTTCTATTTCTGAATACTGTATATTTTACTCTCCTTAAAAAGCAATTGGGCAAAAACAAAACAAAACAGAAAAAAATTACCTGTATGTGGATGTCATATGATCAGTATATTATTTTAAAAAAGATAATCCAAACATTTTCAGAAACTTGAAGATGGTATTGAGCTAATGGAATATATTCCCCTTACTCATTGACATTTGTGCTTCTGAATATTGAACTTTGTAGTATTTGTCACTCACTTGGGCTTAAACCATGCCACCACCAAAACTCTCAGATTCTCATTGATAACACTATTCTTGTGCAAAGCAAAATTAACTGGCAGCAGTTGGGAGGAGTCCTGACTAAGTCTTGTCACCAGATCTTATCTGTTCCCTGACAAGGGCATACTAGCTATACAAGAGGGAACTTTTCACAGTAAGCTTCTAACCACCTTCACTGTTACTGGGAAAGACCCAAGGCAGATGTCTCCTAGACAGCACACATTGATCTCTATTGATCTTCCTAGTGGTGACATAGAATGTGTGTGTGCCACAGTGTTTCAGCCATGTTCATCTTGACATTTTGATTTTTTCCAGTGTTTAAGTATTCATTCCTATATATCGTTAAATGAATTATATTTTTCTCTAGTTGGGTCTTAAAAGAACAATTGATGAGTCTTAGTGTATATACATTGCAGATTTGAATAGCTGTATTACTAAATTATTTTGCAAAAAGAAGGGGCCCATTTACATAGCCCCTTAAAATGCTGCAGGACAGAACCTGTTTTCTCCCTGTGCAGCAGTCAGAGACTCCCATTAGTATTGATCTCATTTTCCTGTAGAGTTTTACTTTTTAAACTTTAACATCTTTATATTGAGTGCATTGTTCCTCTCAAATGATGACTTCCAATTTTCCATGTAATCTTGCGTTCCCAGGGTGCCTCATTTAGCTCAATTGTTTATGATATTAATTAAAAGTGGTTTTTAAATTCTTCAAAACAAACTATTTACAATCACTTGCATTCTCCACCTGAATCTTTATATCATTAAGCAAATTTATTATATGTGTATAGTATTGATAACCATTATTACATGTATTTTGTAGCAAATGGTGTGTGAGGTTTTCTAACTCTGTTTCTTCTCTGGTGTGCAGAGCATTACTGTATGGCGGGATGCGAGAGTCTCAGCCTGAAGCAGAAATCCCCCTCCAGGACACCACCGCAGAAGCATTCACAATGCTGCTCAAATACATCTACACTGGGCGGGCGACACTGACAGATGAGAAGGAGGAGGTGCTGCTGGATTTTTTGAGCCTGGCTCATAAATATGGATTTCCAGAGCTAGAGGATTCTACTTCTGAGTATCTCTGCACCATCCTTAACATCCAGAATGTCTGTATGACTTTTGATGTTGCCAGTCTCTACTCACTGCCCAAGTTAACTTGTATGTGCTGCATGTTCATGGACAGGAATGCTCAGGAGGTGCTTGCCAGTGAAGGCTTCCTCTCCCTTTCCAAGGTGTGTTCTGGTCTGCCTTTGATTTCTCAGCGTGCTTTTTTTTTTTTTTTTTTTTTTAATTTGTACTTACGCAGTGACCAACAACAGTGGTCCTAGAATCAAAGATAAAGGTCCTTGGTCTCAAAGAAGTAATCTGGTCTAGCACTTGCTCCAGGCTTCTGGGACTCTAGTTCTTAAAGGCTTTTGGTTCCATTTTTCTTTCCCCTTCCAAGGTTTCTCTGGTAAGTTTTATGTGCAGAAGAGACTGGTTTTGGTTTTAATATGACATAAGATTCTTTTTTGTTGTATTGCACACCATTTTTGGGATATGTATTTCTCTGATATAGAATATAACTAGGGATTCTCTTTTGTCAAAAGGAAAGAGTCTTTAGGGCTGGGTATAGTCAGTGGCCCAGAGGGAAAATTGATCAAAGAGCTCTGAAGTGGGTGTCTCTTAAGTCACTGCTGGGGTCCCTCCTCTTCCTGGTTTACTGTTTACCACTCTAAAACTGCCACTTAAATCTGCCATCGAACCTGGAGCTGTGGCTCTCTGTCCCTCTCAGTATTTATCTGTGTGTGTTTAAAGAGCTGTGTATCTTGATTTGAATGAACTCTGATTTTTTTTTTTTAATTATCCCATTTAACTTCTGTAAGCAAGGAATTTTCATGGGTGCATCAGTGTTTATGGAGTTCAGTCCAGAGAGCCAAGGACCGAAACCATGGTAGTGCAGCAGAACTGTAAAACAGAAGGCTTCTCTTACTGACTTACAAATGTACACCTTCTCAAAGAATACACACATGCGTGCACTTGCACACACGCAGTTTGCCATCTTTGTTCTTGCTGTTTTATAAGAGGATAGCTACAAACTATACCACTCCTGCAAATAAACCCAAAGGACTTGAAGTCAGCATGTTAGAGATACTTGCACCTACAGGTTTACTACTGCACTGTTTGTAGTAGCTACAGTGTGGAGCCAGTCTAGAGGTCCATCAACAGCCAGATAAGTGATGTGGTATGGAAACACAATGGGACTCTGTTCAGCTGAAAAGGAAAGTGAAATAATGACAGTTGCAGCAAAATGGAAGAACTGAAAATCATTAGTTGAAAGAAGCCAGACTCATAAAGACAGATTTCACCTGTTGCTCTCATAATGGCCCCTACATTGTATGTGTGTAAATGTGCACATGTTAGGGACTGGGTTTCTAAGTTTGGTTTCTATTGCTTTGATAAAACACCATGACCAAAAGCAACTTGGGGAGGAAAGGGTGTATTTCAGCTTCAACTCTCAGGTCACACCCCCCATCACTGTGGGAAGTCAGGGCAGGGACCTGGAGAAGGAACTGAAGCAGAGGCCCTGGAGGAATGCTGCCTACTGGCTTGCTCCTCCAGGCTTGCTCAGCCTGCTGTCTTAGACAACCCAGAACCCATTTGTATAGGGAGTGGCATTGCTTTTAGTATGCTATGTCCTTTCTCATCATTCATTAATCAAGAAAATGCCCCACAGACTTGTCCACAGGCCAGTCTTCTTATGGGGGAGCATTTTCTCTATTGGGAGTTCTTCTTCCCAGATGACTCTGGCTTGTGTCAACTTGACACAAGCAGGCAACACAGTAGGTATAGCCCATGAAACTAGGAAGGGGACTATGAAAATGGAAGAAGATCTTAAGACAGAATGTAGGAGAAAAAGCATGTGTATCTGTGGGGTAATGGAATACACATGACATGGAAGCAAAAGCAGGGCTGTGGGAGGCGGACAGGGTACCAGCAAGATGGGCAGTGGAATGGAGAGTAGAGCAGAGGACTGTTACAAATATGAGCAACATAGTATATGAAAAATTTATTTACTTTGTATTATAACTTTAAAAATAGAGTAAATCTCTTTAAAACAACAAAAGATGGGTATAGATGTATGGGGAAAGACTAATTGCTTTCCTGAGTTAGGGAAGGTGCTACTCTGTTTTTTTTTTTTTTTTTAAATTAACTCATGTTGTCTTTGAACCACCCTGTCGTCCAGGCTGACCTTAGACCCACAGTCTTCCAAATGCTGGTATTACAAGCATGAGCTGCTGCACCTGAATTATTACTGCTGCTTGTTCACATAGCCAGAGGGGAGAAGGGGACAGATAGGAAGGACAAAACACAAGGAAAGGACTGCTGCCCATTGTCTGGCCAAGTTCTGCTGACTGGTTATGCTTATGGCTGCACTCCATGCTGACGTCTACGCTCCCTGTTTATCCTTTGCAGACGGCACTTCTGAACATCGTTTTAAGAGATTCGTTTGCTGCTCCTGAGAAAGATATTTTCTTAGCCTTGTTAAACTGGTGTAAGCACAATGCAAAGGAGAACCATGCTGAAATCATGCAGGCTGTGCGTTTACCTCTGATGAGCCTCACTGAGCTTCTGAATGTCGTGAGACCTTCAGGGTTGTTGTCTCCAGACGCTATTCTAGATGCCATTAAAGTGCGTTCAGAGAGCCGGGATATGGACCTTAACTACAGAGGCATGCTCAGTAAGTATCTGTTTCTCCTTCTCACCTTCTCCTAACCGCAGAACTCCAGCTACAGAGTTATACATACCCTGGTGCAGGTATGCATAGCATATGCCCAGCCAAGAGGACCTAGCTCTGTTTCCTGTGGGTGTCTCTTGCTGTTGTTCTTCCTAACAGGATGAGCTAGCACATCTATCTGTTGTCATTCCTGGACACATTTTCCATCTGCTCCTCAGGATGTCAGTAGACACTTTCCTAAAAAGTTGCTTGTCAAATTAAGACTTTTCCTCCTCCCTCCTTCCTTCATCTAAGATGAGTGCCTAATTCTTTAGGTACCACCTGTGGAGATTCTAAGTAGTGGTGACACTGGCTGCTGATAGTAACAGTATTCTGATTTGCAAATGAAATAATAGCAGTTAAGGATTACCAAATCCTCTCTGTGTCAGGGCCAAGCTCTACATCCTCTCCATTCTCAGGTCCGTGGAGACACACTGCCTATTTCTAATTGGTTGTTTCACAAGTGAAGAAAATGAGACACAGAGAATTGGGTGCCTTGCCCAAAGTCACACAGAAGGATGATACGCTGAGAACTTGATATCACTCGCCTCTGTAGGCTGTGCCTATTAAACTATCCTATTAAACTATTAAGCTATGCAGCAGAAGTGTAAAGAGCAGCCTCTGCCTTTGACCCTTCCACTTTCATTGTGGGAGAAGGCCTGTGACCAACTAAAAACAACAGTGTTGAAGTAGTAACACGGTGTAACTTCAGGAAAAGGTGGCATAGAATGGTTGAGGGGAAGACAGGAAACTCCTTGGTTGGAGTGGTATTGTCATTGACTGAGCGCCGATTTGGAAAATGGGTGAGAACAATGGAGTTTTGTATCTGAGAGGCCAGGACGAAAGCGCTTGATAGAACAGGAGGGTGTGCTGCTGTGTGAGCTAATGGCTGCGTGCCAGTTCAAACAGATCGTGGAGATCTTTGAAAGCTGGCTCAAATCTCCTTTCTCTACAATGAGAAACTTACTTGAGAGTGGCTTGCACACTGCAGTGGGGCTCTCCTGGATGGTTTGGAAGAGTTTAAACTGGATTCCAGAAAACCAGTGAGGAAGGAATTTAATCTGCTTGACTGACACAGCGTGTGATGGCAGAGAAGTGGAAGGAACAGGAGCATAGACAGGGTTCCAGGAAATTAGAGCTTGATGATGGGAGGATTTCACTGTGGTTTTCTAAATCTAAGAAACCAGCAGTCCTGAGGCCTCATTGTCTTAGGACAGTAAACGGTGCCAGCTAAAGCTCAGGACATTTCATGTTCTCAGGCAGGCAGTGCTTCTGCCAGGAGATGCTGAGCATCTTTGGTTATTCAGCTTGAGGGCTTCTGGGTATTTGCCATTTCTGGTGAGACTGGTCATTTCCTGAAATGATACCTTTCTTGACTGGTTTGAGACGTTCTTGAAATGCTGGTGGGCCCTAAAAGAAGTTCTTAGCCTAGATTTACATCCCAAGTTGTCAGATTTAGATTTCTTTTCAACTGACACAGTAGTTCTTTGGCCTCACATATTTTGTGGGTGCACATACATGCATATATGTGCACAGAATGTGGAGGCCGGAGGTGAGCCTCAGGCATTACCTTGTGGGAGTCATCCAACTTGATTCTGAGACCTTCTCTTGGCCTGGGGCCCGCGTCCCGCTGAGTAGACTGACTGGGCGGCAGACACCCGGGCTCACTGGTCTGTTCTGGGGTCTATAGTTGTGTGCCCTTAGACTCAGCTTTTTATGGCGGCACTGAGAAATCCTTTAGGTTCTCACTGCTGGTTTGGTAAGCACTCTTTAGACTGAGCTGTCTCCTGAGTCCTTCAGCCAGACAGATTTGATTTTAAGTCCTGAATTAGTCATTAGCTGTATGATCTGGCAATAAATTGAGTTTTAGTTTTCTATTTCAGTATTGTTATGAGGATTAATTGGAGTAATTTGTGTAAATACGGCATGTGGTTTCTTTTTCCCTCATCTCTGTATGTCATTGTGTGAATTGTTACATTCACCATATTCTTGTAAACAGTTTCCTTTACTTACCTTTGAGTTTTAAAGACAAAGTTTTTTGGTGGGTCTTATTTATTGATCTTTTATCCTGACCACTTAACACACTGACCAGTGTATAACAAGTGAATGCTTGCTGGATCAAAGCATTCTATTGTATTCGGGGAGCAGTCACAGCTAGTGACCAAAAGATTTGAAATCTGGTAAGAATAAGGAGTAAAAGAATCAAGCTCCAAGACTTGGAGACCTGTTGGCCGGAGGCTTCAGGTGGAGAAGGAATTAGAAAGGCAGGGAGGCAGCAGAGATACAGAAGTCCACAGAAGCCGGTCAGAGGGGAGAGCTGCTGTATGGAAAGGCAGTTATGGTGTCTCACGATGCCAGATAGTCAAGGTGAATGGCAATCAAGAGGACTTTGGATGTAAATCGTGTGAGTTCATGAATAGTCTAAAGGGAATCAGGCATGTTTGAAGGGATAACACGTACAGTGTTAGTGATTGGGTTTGTGGTTTGAGGTAAAAGGCAGTAGAGAAGCAGAGTGGCGTAGCTGTAGAGAACGAACTGCAGAGGTCTGGGAAGCAATTAGAGGGGCCAGTTGAAGGTCAGCCTTAGCTGTAAGAGGGTGAAAGGTGATAACGATGTTAAATTTTACACTTTCCAAACCCTCATTTTGTATCCTCTTATATAAGTGCCTCTCCTTCTTTCCTATGATTGACTGATATACCCTAGAACTGGGTTTGGAGAAGATGGGTTGGATCATGGATGTAGGTGTTAGGTATATTTGGCACTTCATACAGTTACTGGTTTCTTGGTCAGCCCATGCGGAAGCACTGGATTCTCGTTCTCTGGGAGATTCCTTGGGGAGGGAATAGCTAAGGCACTGAGTTCTGGAATGATGTGTTTTCTATGACTATTGCTCATCAGGGTAAAATTTTCAGTTTGGAGACATTCAGGCAGAGCTCAAGGAATAGATTATGAAAGTGTTTGGTAATCATAAAATCATTGAGTAATGGTTAAATAGCAGAATATTTTCTGACTTTTGTAGTATTTAGATAGTAAAACCAATAATAAAAATACTGTGGAAACGCAATGCATTCCTAGCAGATTCATGAAGAGATTATTTTCTAAGAACTATCTAAACATTCGGATAATTATTTTAACACTTTTTTTTTTTTTTTTGTTGGGAAACAAGGCCGAACAGCTCAGAACCATTCTTAGACTGATGGTTTGGAAGCTAGCTCTGCTGGTATTGGAGAAGCTAGCTCTGCTGGTATTGGAGAAGCTAGCTCTGTTGGTTTTGGAGAAGCTAGCTCTGCTGGTTTTGGAGAAGCTAGCTCTGTTGGTTTTGGAGAAGCTAGCTCTGCTGGTATTGGAGAAGCTAGCTCTGCTGGTATTGGAGAAGCTAGCTCTGCTGGTATTGGAGAAGCTAGCTCTGCTGGTATTGGAGAAGCTAGCTCTGCTGGTATTGGAGAAGCTAGCTCTGCTGGTATTGGAGAAGCTAACTCTGCTGGTATTGGAGAAGCTAACTCTGCTGGTATTGGTGCTGCTGGGATCGGATTGTGTGACTGTTGATGTTCTTCCCTGGCATGTGTTTGTGTTTAGAGGCTAATCAGGAATGCAGAGGGCCTCTCTTGGCCCTGGTGCCGCTCTTACAAATTCATCGACATGGGTTTCTAGAAGAGCCTCTCCTCAATGCCTACTTAGATACTTTACTAAATTGCACACGCCACCCCATTTTAAAGGGGGCGATCCAGAAGATGTTTTTACTCAGTGATGAGGGCTGGTCTCTTTAGAAGGTAGTTTAAATAGTTTTATGCATATCTAATAAGAATTCATCTATGCATCTAGGGAAAGGAAATGACCTTTTTAATGAAATCTTGAACAGCCTTCTTTCCATTCTCTTAACATTTAGTTTTACTTAATTCTGTAGATGCTGTCTTGAAAGTCAGTGCTTTTTCTAATGAGGCTGAGTTATACTCTGCTTTGTTTATCTCATGCTTTTGACTATGGGAAAGAGAACAGTAACTTCTTATTTCTGCATGCTTATAGCAGAGAGCTGTGTCACAGATTCTAGCCTCAGGATTTCTTTGTTGAGTAAAAGTCAATATGTTCTAAGACTGCTGAGGTACATTATTGGGGTGTGTGTGCACGCGTGCGTGAGTTACTGGTCTATAGATCTTTGCAACTGTGATATAATTGTTGGTTTTTATTTGTCTAGACGCACTCATTAGATTGAGTTCTTTAATGATATAGTTGTGGTCTTCTAGCACCTGTCACAGTGTCTGAATCAAGATTTTAAAAACACACGAGACAGAATGAGTTCTTTAATTGTTTCTAAACTAGAATTTAAGTCTTTCCCCCCATCACATAAAGACAGTTATACTCAAACTTTCAACTCTTGTCTCTTCACTGCTGTGTCATTCGTGGGGTGCATTCATCTGTGGAGGTGGTCGGTGTCAGTGTAGGTTGTCTTGTTCTGTCAGATGCTGAACATCTGGGGCTGAGTCCAGTACTGTGATTTGCACAGCGGAGGCAGCCTTGAAACCTGTTTCTTTAAATAAATTGCATGCTATTGCTTGGTAACTTGCCTAAAGTTGCCAGGTAAATTAATTGCCTAGGCTGGGATCAAACAGTAGGAAGTAGATGCTCTTCTGTAATTTCTTCTAGTTGGTTTCTTCTTTGTTTCCACTTTGTGTGTTTGAGTGCCAGAATTGAGAAGTGTGGAAACCAGGCCTGGAAATAGTAGGTTAATGGGGAAAGTTAAAGCAAGACAGGAGCCTTGGGAAAGTCGTTTGTAATGACGCAGTTGTTAGGAAGTATCATGGGAGGGAGGCAGATGCCCCATACATTCCAGGAAGTGCAAGAGTTGACTTAGGTGACAAAATCTTAAAGAGATTCTAGTAGGCAGAGAGCTATTTTGTATCTAAATAATTCATTGGTACAAGTGCCTGTCTCAAGTGCTATGTCCCCAGTGATGATTATAAACATAAGAGAACACAGGGTTGTTAGCCCAGCGCCTCAGCTTTTCTCACTGTGTAACTTGCTTTAAATTATGACTCAATCTCTGAGCATGTTCATGTAGCCTCTTGTCTGTCCTTGGAGTGTTGGTTTTTAGGTGTCAGTACCTGGTGACCCCTTCCTTACTTGTGAAATTTGATTTATAGATGACTTCATAGTCCTAGACACCAGTCTCAGTTGGAGAGAGGAGGGAGCTTGAAATAACCCAACAATCCCCCTTTCCTCATTTCTAATAATTGGTTTGATTTTACCTAGCTATAGGACTTTAAAGCTCATTTTTTTCTTAATGACTATAAAATATATTATAAATCATAAATGTAAAGAACACTTTGATTGCTGTTTATGATCTTGCTCAATTCCTGTTACTACCTTCTATTCTCTGAAAGTTTTTTTGTTCATGGACAGAGAGATACAGTTACTAAGAATATTCATGCTTTGAATACTTTTGTAGTTTAAAATTTTCCAGGATGACTTTTCCTTTCAAATTCATCATTTAACTGTAGATTTTGAAGAAAAAGATTACGTTGGAGCTGTATTTTTATCTAGCAGTGCACTTTTCTTGTCACGAGGGGATTTCCACTTGTGTAAATGGTCTTCACTCGGAGCGAAAGATGCTCTCCGGGAATGAGCGTGTTGAGAACGGCTAGAAAATGCTCAAGTACTCTTGAAATAGACTTCAAAAGAAGACTTTGACTTGCGATAAACTTTCATTTCTATTTCAGATATCAGCTGTAATCATTAGAAACTCTTGGACCTGCTGTATTATTCAGAGCTTGATAGATTTTAGTACTGAGGGAAACTCTCTTAAGGTGGCTTCAGTTTCTAAGCTTGGAGGCTTGGCACAAGTCCCTCTATGTCTCGGTCCTAACTTGTACTCTCTTAACAGTCCCATCAAAATTTGCCTATGAAGGAGGCTCAGAACCTTAAACTAGCAGTGGGACCCCCTGGATGCCTGGGTCTGGTATCAGCTCTGCTGAACAGTAGGTCTATTGAGCTTTTTTTGCTTCCATGACTCATCTGTGATGGCCGCAGTAATGTACTGTGCTCTGAGAGCAATATGAGGACTAAATCAAAGAGCTAATATTTATAAGTGCGTGCAGCAGTGTCTGGGAGGAGTATGGAGAGTGATCAGAGTTGGCTGTGGGAGGTTGTAAGTTGGTGCGGCTTCAGCCACTGAGCGTTGCTCTACTTGCTTTGTTTGTTTCCCGAGTTGCTTCAGTTGCCTTTAGCTGCATTTGTTACCTGTTCTGGAGCCACTGTTACCTGTCTTTATTTGTAAACTTCCACAAGCCAGTTCCCACCGTATCTACAGTGCTGAATTCTTCCTCCTGCCTTTTCTTTGTGCACCTGATAAGTCTCCCTTTCCCCTGCATACCATACGGTCAAGCTGTATGTGCTTGCTGAGAAATCTGCACAGTTCTCTTACATACGTGCAATATAGTGATGACTGTTTTTAAAAGAGCACGCTATATGCTTTATAAACACCTGCTCAGTCTTTACAGGGGATGTGTAGGGGACAAGCATTGTCTTCTTAAGAAATTGACATTTAGTAAGAGTAATTTCTCCCAGGTGACATATCCAGTTCAGGGTACAGCCTTGATTTAAATTATGACTCAGTCTCTGAGCATGTCTATGCAGCCTCGTGTCTTTCCGTGGAGAGTGCTGGTTTAGGTGTCAGTTCCTGGAGACACCGTCCTTACCTGTGAAGCATGATATGTACAAATAACTTTAAAGTCCCAGACACTAATCTCTCATTGGAGAAAGGAGGGAACCTAAGATAACTGCAATACTGATTCTGATTACAGGCTTCTGAATTTTCAATTAAAAAAAAAAAACAGGGCTGAAGAGATGGCTCAGTGATTAAGAGCACAGACTGCTCTTCCAGAGGACCTGGGTTTAATTCCCAGCACTTAACTGGCAGCTCTCAGCTGTCTGTAACTCCTGTTCCAGGGGATCTAACACCCTCACACCAATGCACATAAAAGAAAATTAAATAAATTAAAATAGCAACAACAACAAAAATCAAGGGATGTTTATTTTCTTTTAAGGTAGGATCTTATTTTCTCAGTGTGGAAAACTGATGCATCTTGTCTGCATGTGACTAACAGTGGCCAGCGCTGGAGCTTCTCCTTCTCTCGTTTGGCCTGTTGGCTGGACACCTGTCCTGGGTCCGGATGGCGGGTGCAGGTCATCTGATGTGCTGTTTCTGATCAGTAGTCACCTGATTAAAGCTGTTAACGGGATGAACAGAGAGGATGGCTTGACCTGCTACTTGTGTTTCTAGTATTGACTTTCTCTTAATATCTAGTGTCTGGCTCACTATAGATGTGGTAGTGACATTCAGTTTGAATGCTGAGCTATTTTAATCTTGGTGGACATTCTATATTCTCCATTTTCATAAAGTTGACTATGCAACTTAAAATCAGATGCAGATACTGTAATCAACTAGAATGCTTAAAAGTTCACTTTCCCTTCACTAGTACAGAATAATGAAAATCACCACACCACTTACTCTGTTTCTAACTGTAGTACCAGAAGAAAACATCGCAACTATGAAGTACGGAGCCCAGGTTGTGAAAGGAGAGCTGAAGTCAGCCTTGTTGGATGGTGACACTCAAAATTATGACTTGGATCATGGATTTTCCAGACATCCCATCGATGATGACTGCCGCTCTGGCATTGAAATCAAGCTTGGCCAGCCATCCATTATCAACCACATACGCCTCCTCCTGTGGGACCGTGACAGCCGGTGAGGCCTTCCTGTCCCTGAGACACTGATGTTGCATTTGCTGAAGAGGACCTAACTTTTTGGTCATCTGCTTTGGTTCCTCTCCCCAACTGCTTCTTTATCTACTGGCAAAGGGGGCAGTTATTGAGAAAGACAGTGTCTCTGTCTTAGGGTTACTATTGCTATGATGAAACACCACAGCTAAAGCAACTTGGGGAGGAAAGGGTTTATTTGGCTTACATTTCCACATCACAGTTTACAAAGGAGGTCAGGACAGGAACTGAAGCAGGGTAGGAACCTGGAGGCAGGAGCTGATGCAGAGGCCATAGAGGGGCTGCTTCCTGGCTTGCTCCTTATGGCTTGCTTAGCTTGCTTTCTTATGGAACCTAGGTCCACCAGCCCAGGGATGGCCCACACCCCTCCCCGTGGGCTGGGCTTCGCATCAATTATTAATTAAGAATATGCCCTACAGCTGCATGATACGGAGGCATTTTTTTTTTTCAGTTGAGATTCCCTTTTTTTTCAGTTAACTCTAGCTTGTGTCCAGTGACATAAAACTATCCAGCACAACCCTCTAGCACGGAAGTGCACCAGGGGAACTGGGAAAGACTGTTAGATGCTCAGTGATCATCCGCTCTGGTTTTATCGGTTTAAATGACCTAATTGTGATCATTCTGCTATTTCTTTCAGTTAGTTGTAGAAGAAGAATTAAAAGATTTCTTTAAAATTTTTAAAATTTAAAGTTTTTGGTATTTTATTTTGTGTATTATGAGTGTTTTGCTTGCATGTATGTATGTGCATCATGAGTATCTGGCCTCCCCATAATAAGGTGATGGATACCCTGGGGCTGGAGTTTCAAACTGTTGTGAGTCACCATGTGTGTGCTGGGAATCAAACCTGGGTCCTCTGAAGAGCAGTCTGTGCTCTTAACCACTGAGCTGTCTCTCCAGCCCCTTTTGTCCTCCTTATATACAAGCACCGAATAAGTGTTTATTTTGGGATATACAGAAAGCACAAAGAAGAAAATAAAAATTGATGGTAATCTCACCACTACCAGTTAACTAAACTTTTTACGTATCTAACTTTGTTTATTTGTTTTCTCCCTGTCTGTTTCATACACACATATGCTCATTACAGAGTCTTCACATAGCTTCACAAAATACAGACTAGCTATATGGAAAACTCACCTCTACTTTTTATTTTTCTGTCTTAATAATTTGCCTAACCTGATCTTGGATTCCTTTTGCCACAGTTTCCCAAATTCTTGTATTACAGATGTGTGTGCTCCACTGCGCCTTTGAAATGTAGTAACTGAAACATGAAATTAAAGCCAAGTGTGTTTCAGTTACTACATTTAAAACATTCTGTTAGTTTTGAATTGTTATCTGGCATCCTTCCATATAAGTAAACATTATTTATTTGATTCTTTAATATTGGATATTATGAAACCTTTAAAATACATATCATTGAATGACTGAAGAAATTGTCTTTTAGTGCATAGCTGAGCATCCTTGGAATGAAGTCAAACTGAGAGAGAAGTGGAGTGATCTTCAGGCCACTGCGTGTGCCCAGTTTCTTAGCAGCTCCAAGAGTGCTTTCCTTCCATCACCTCTGTCGTACTCTGGTCTGCTTGAGCCTGTGCATTCCTGGTGTCAGAAGCACCAGGGCAGTGATGAGCAGAACTACGTGGTCTCTAGTTGTACTTAGCCTAAGGCCTACCCAACCTGCTGTGCCTTTTGAGTCTGGGCCTGTCGGTTCAGTGGGAGTAGTGACAGGGCTCACATGGAAGGAAGAGAGTGTGTCCTGGTAGCACATTGAATTTTTGACCATTTGAGGGAATCTTTTTAAGGTGAGTCAGTCAGCATTTGTATGTGTAGTGTTGTTTTTGAGATCCCTACGTGATAGCTCTGTTTTGTTTTTTATTAAGAATATACTTCATGGGGCTGGGGAGATGGCTCAGTAATTCAGATCCATGTACTGCTCTTGTGGAGAGGGTGAGAGTTTGATTCTAGCACTCACATTTGGTGACTCACAACCACATGTAATGTGTGCTGTAAAATAAATCCTTTAAAAAAAAAGAGTGCATTTCCTCACATGTATCTTGGTGGATATCTGGTGCATGACTGACGAAGTGGTTAGAGTTAATTCATGTTTCTCACTTCCAAGAATCCCTGCTTAATAATAACAGTGTAATAATATTAAATTGCACTTCCATTACTTGTATATGGTAGGCTTTCTAAAGGCTTTATCCATTTCATTCATCTAATTAATAATGAAATTGGTATAAAAATAATAAAGGAAAAGGCTAGTGTGCTTGAATCTGAAAGCACTGCTCATTGTTCCCACGATGTTAAGTATTTCTCGGCCACTTTTATTTAGTATCTGTGTTCCATTCACAGAGGACTTAGCATTACCTGTTCTTTTCTTACAGCATTGTTAACATTTGAAGTAAAGGTGAAAAATTCAAAATCTTAAGCCAAAAAGATTCTGATGTGTTGTAAAATTATATCCCACAATACTGATAAGCCAGAGAGGTTCAATAAAAGGTTATAGCCAGTTTGAGGCTGAGCGATAAAATGAATGGGAGTTGAGGGGACAGCAGAAAGTGAGGGGATGACACAAAATAAGCTGACCTTTTCTGGCCACAGCTGTGGGCTGCAGGCTGACATTTATGCTCACCTAAATCTTCCGAGATTGTTCCTGTTGATATTACAGTACGAGTAATAACTGCACCTCAAATTTAAATTTGGCTCATGACAAGGAAGTACAGATGTTTTCAGTATGGGACCAGCATGTAATGGTCCTGGGCAGCTGCCTAGGGGAGGATGATGGGCTGTTTTCATTACAGCCAGGTTATTAGCTGGCAAGTTTTAAGTTGCATCCAAAAGAAACAAGCATTATCTTCCCCCCCATGTTGTTTATTTTTCAGCAGGCTGTTTTTAAGTGTGGTATGGTAGGAGACTGAGAGGTGGCTGGAGATAAGCTGGCTTCTGTGGAGAACCATTCCACCCTTCCACTAACTCTCCCTGCCAAGAAGGGAGGGCAGAACACCTAGACCAGGGGCCGTGGAAGGAGGAAAGGGCACTTGCCTGCTTCTGTTGGTTGTCCCTTCCCTGTCTAACCTCTCCAGTCCTACTCCTGTTTTCTCTGTCTCCTCTCCTCCCTCTTGGCTTTATTAACCTGCTAATAGGACATGACCAAGGCATCTGGGCAATGTGAAGAAAAGCAGTCTTCTGTTTCATTTTGTTCTTAAGTAGTTCATCATTTGATTAAGGCAGAAAGACAAGCTGAGAGGAAATGTCAATACATTGAGTAAATTCTAAGGAGAGTGTTTTATACAGCTTTCATTGCTACCTAGATTTGATAAATGTCATTTTGAAACAGATAGAATTAGTTCATTCTATACTTTGGTACATTTTAATATCTTACTTTGGTTTTCTGTTGTCACTGTGCCCTGTTCTTTCCTTTTACTTCCTAGGTCTTATTCCTACTTTATTGAAGTGTCCATGGATGAACTTGACTGGATCAGAGTCATAGATCACTCGCATTACCTGTGTCGGTCTTGGCAGAAGTTGTATTTTCCAGCTCGCGTCTGCAGGTAAGTACTCATTGTTAATAAATGATTTCCATCTTTATTTAAGGACATTTGGAGTTTGAGAAGGAGATTGCTCTCAAAAAATCAAAACCAAAAGAAAAAACAAACAAAAACAGAAAAACAAAACCCTGTAGGGAAGCTTATGGACCTTAGTGTGTGGCTGCACTGGGGAGCTGTCCAGCGTGTCTGTGCCGCGTGTTCTGTGCCGTGTGGAGACGGAGTTGCTCTTTGCACTGTTGTCTGCATAGAGAAGGCAGTTGTGGTTAGACGGTGGGAAGGTCTTCCTCAAGGCTCCCTGATGGTGCCCAGAGCCAGGAGGAGAGTTGTGGATGCCTTTGTCCGCATCGGATGGCAGGTGGGGTGTGTCCCAGAGCAGGTGTTTTTGTTGTTGTTGTTGTCGTCTGTTTTTGAGAGGGTTTCTCTGTGTAGCTTTGGCTGTCCTGGAACTAACTCTGTAGATCATGTTGGCCTCGAATTCACAGAGATTCACCTGCCTCTGCCCCCCAAGTGCTGGGATTAAAGGCGTGTGCCACCAGTGCCCGGCCAGAGCAGGTGTTTTAAGTGTGGTTGGTCAAAGGCACAAGGCCAGCTTAGCTGGTAGGCTTCATGCTCACATCGTTTTTTTCTCAGTACCAGCCAATTCTATCCAAGCCCCCAGGTAGGATTGTTGTAGAGAGTGCTGAAAGGTTACTATTCTAATAGTTCACATTCTTCTTTAGATAAAAACCATTATCTGAACTTTCTGTACGTCTGCAAAACATGTAAGTTAGTGAAATTGGGAGTTGGAAAAGGTGGTTGAAGTTCCCTGAAAATTACATAGATTTGTTCTTCTTCTCACCGGACTGTGCGATGATAATCTTTAAGGCAAGAGGTTAAAGGCAGAAGATAGTAGGCTCATATAGTGTGGGAGAAGAGTAGGGAGGAGAAATGGTTGGGAAAAACAGGAACAAAGTGGAGCTGGCCTCTCACCATCACCTCCCCACGTCAGATGCCATCCACTCTGACTTGTAGTCGTGACTGACATGAAGCATGTGAGAATGTCCCTGGCTTAGTCTCCTGGCCAGGAGTCTCCTCTGTGAACTCTTGATTAACTCAGCACAAGAATTTGTGAAACTTTTCCACCTCTAGTACATTTTTATTGGTATTCCTGGACGCAGTATTGTTACCCAGGGATCCTCTTGTGTATAAATGAAGAAAATCAATTTCATTTCCCCAAAGAGGGACTAAAATATTTCTTTTACTTAGAGGAGTTTGGAATGGATTAAAATAAGAGGGATCAGAAATTGAGTTAAGATTCCACATCCCAGAGCTGCCACCAGATACTTGGCGAGAGGGACCTGAGAGGAGGAGGACGTCCAGTCTGCAGTAACTCAGGTTGTAATGGTTGAAGCAGGCTAAAAAATAAACAGCATGTCAGCCTATGCTGACATGAGTGGAAGGATAGAGCACTGCTATGCAATCTGAAACAGTGGGAACATGGCTCGTAGAGCTAGTTACCATGCCTCCAGCCCGGACAGTCGCATTAGTTACCATGCTTCCAGCCCGGACAGTCGCATTAGTTACCATGCTTCCAGCCCGGACAGTCGCATTAGTTACCATGCTTCCAGCCCGGACAGTCGCGTTAGTTACCATGCT